TTCTGCCCAGGCAGGCGGGAGGGGTCCCCTTTGGCTCCAGAGAGATGGAGGTGGCTGCCAGGCGCCCAGAAGTGCCCCAGAGGGATGCAAGGAGTGGGCCTCTTGAGCCTTTGCTCCTGGCCAGTTCTCAGCTAAAGGGTCCAAGGCAGAGGAACTCTCCCAGCCTCCTTCTGGCCATGAGGGTTAAGGAGCTGAGGCTTAAGGCACACCTGGACTGCTGGGGGTGGGGGAGGGGTGGAGGCAGAGCACAGGAGACTGTGCTCCACCTCCTCCACCTAGAGAGACTGTGGCTGAGGTGGATTGTAAGGTCAGTTGTGGAGTCATGGACAGAGCAGGAGGAAGAACCAGGGAGGAGCTTAAGGGGGGCGATTCTGGAAGGAGAAGCGCTTCAAGGCAGGTTCTGAGTGCGGCAGCCCAGGGAAGCCTGCAGTGGGCTTCTTGCAGTGCCTGGCTCCTAGCCCTCCCTCAGTGCCTCAGCCTGGGGGACCCCCCCTTTGTTTCTATTGAAGAGGCTAGCGTAATTAGAGCCTCAACACCCCTCTCCTCTTGGGACCACACAGCCCAGGGTTCTGTGTGAAACTTCTGGGTCTGCAGTTCCTACCAGGCTTTCTGTCGACCTAGATGTGAGTCCCAACCATCATGCCCTGTCCCCCTCTCCCCACCTCCTCTACCCACACAGCTTCCTGTTCCTCTCTTCCACACACCATCCCCCGCACAGCACACCCTGTCCTCTCACCCCTAGTTCCTTCCTAACAAACTCCCTCAGGTCTGCATTCATTTCACTCCACACCCTGACTTAAATGAAATCATCCCCCTACCAACCTTGTCCTGTTCACAAGGATAGGAACTAATGATATATCTACAAAGAACATGGGACCCTCAAGGACTGAGGTCATTTCAGTCATTTTTAAAAATCATCTCCAATCTGAAGCCATGAAATGGGGCAGGATCAGGTGTCCAGGAAGGTGTCTCCCCTATTAATGCCCTCAGTTCTGAAAGGCTATGTGGGCTTTCTGGCTTTCTAATTCCCCTGTTTTCACATGCCCTGGCATCCAGATTGCTTTTCATCTTTCCCTGGTGATTCCCATTTCTTAGGTCAGAGGGAGGTTAGCTGGGAGTCCTTGGGCTTCTGGTGTCCCCTAGCATGTAGCTAGGGTAAGGCTTGGGCCGTGCCAAGCCTCCTGGTACTGAACTCTCATAAGTAGCTGCTTTCTCTGTAATTGGAGAGGAGCCAGAGGGTAGTGTCAACCCAAAGGACAGTCTTGTTGTTGCTACCAGGTGGTGTCCAGAAGCAGTAGTAGCAGCAATCTAGGGAATCTGCACAGGGAAGGGAGAGCCACCCCTTTCCAAACTGAACAGGAATGGAGCCCCTGAAATACCCATTTCTCATTTTTGCTCCCACCCCTGTCCTGTCATCAGATCTCTCAAGGTGCATTAGCTAAGAAAGCATTGGGGCATTATTAACTAGTGGGTGCAAATTTGACTCTGTGATATAGGAGAAAGGTCAGTTGTGATAAGGGACTCTTTGCGAGATAGCTCCTTTCAGCTTCTCTTTTCCTCATCTTAAAATGAGGTTGATAAACCACCACTTCACAGTATGAGCTTCCCCCATTTATAGTTTCTATATGTAGTTTTCTTATTATTTTCCTTCTATGTTCCTAAAAGTAATATCACACATAGAGACAGTAAACTTGATGATTATATATATTAATTGACATAAAAATCCACAACATAGTTTGGTGAAAAAATACACAGAATAGAAAAGCACTTACATTTGATCACTTTTATCTATTATCTATCTTGGTACACAGGAATAGGGAAATATCGAGAAGGACATTTATCCAAGGACTGACAATGGTTATACAAGGATGGAGAGTTTCAGGTAATTTTTACTTTAGTTTTGTATTTTCATTCATTTTTTGAAGGTTTAACAATGACTTATACTCCTTTCACAAAAAGAATAAAGTCATCAAGGAAATAGACACACACACAGAATAGATCCTTAGGCAGATGGAGGGGGGAGCAGGGACAGAGGTCAGGCTGTCCTCTCCATTTTGCTGGTATTCACAACCTCTTCTTCCCCAATGAAAGTCACTTTGTGGATTAATTCATGCACCTAGAATCCTCCCCCACCCCCTCCCCTGTTTTCCCCATCACCAGTCTCTGAATACAGTTAAGGGTTCACTTAGGGCAGGGTCTAGCTCCTTACTGTGGCTCAGAGAGGTCACTGTGTTCACCAGGGACCTCTTTCGACTTCTTCTCCTCTGTGTGTGTCAGATCCTGCAGGGTGATGATCACATTCTCAAACACCTGGGCCTTGTTGCTCTCATTGTCACAGGTTTCCTTTGAGTGGCCCTCATCACCACAGTATGAACAGCGGACTGTATATTTTCTCTTCCTGCCTCTATGTATATCTCCAGGACCATCATTCTTATATGCAGAACCACCACTGGTAGAAGGAGATTGAGCCTGAGAACTGTTTAGGGAATTGATGATCAGTATTTGAGCCTGAAGTCTGGCCCTGATTCTGAGGGGAGGGGCACCTATGGATGTAAGTGGAGGGTTCTGAGACTCCACCAGGATCACATACTCATCTGAGTCATTGAGGGTATCATCTACCTCTATCACGTCGCAATCAGCAGTGCTGATGGCTATTGGCTGGGAGCCCTGAAATGCCACAGGGCTTGCTGCCCTCTCCATGATTAGCTCAGATCTTTTGGGCCGCTTCCGTTTCATAAAAGTGTCATCCCAATCCTCTTCCTCCCTTATCATCTTGATTAACTCCAGGAAATTGGGAAGCCGCTCCAGATCATTTGCATACATCCTGAGAAGATGCTTCAGCCTGAAGCGCAGGTCCCCATTCAACTCAGCCCCTAAAAGGAGCTGATGCAGGCGAGTCTGGTTTGTACCTTTCTCAGCTATGATCCCTGCCTGAATAGCATTCTGGAGCTGCATCTCTAAATGGATCACATAAAGGGAGGTTTTCTCCCCTTGTGCCTGCAAAGTGTTAAAAAATTTACCATGGGCAGTGACACTGCTTTCAGAATCCCCAAACACCAATTTCATGGTGCGCAAGAAATCTGCCACACTTAGGTTGGGGTTGGCCGCCTGCAGCAAACGCATGACCTCCCGCGCGGGGCCCCTAAGGGTTTTCATCAAGCGCTTGAGTTTTTCCTCCTCAGACATATTCCAATCTGGCAGGGCCCCATTGACTTGGATCAGCCAGTTTTCAAAGGTTTCTTCCCCTTGGGCTGGCACCACCCTCCCCGAGAACAACTTCATGTTTCTTTCTGCCATATTGACCCTTAAAGGACCAAGACTCCTCCCTAGGGACTTCAATATGGAATGGGCCCAAGGTGGCAAGGGTGTGTTCTGCCGCCGGCTATTACCCACACGTGCAATGATGCTAGCCATGATGGACGATGATCGTCTATCTGAATATAACAAAATGCTCAGGCTTTTTAGAAAAGCCTAATCTGCAGGAGAAATCCCCAAAGCAAAGTTCCTGGGCTCTGCCTTCCTTCTATCTCAGTAGGAACTGTAAAGAAAAGGGGGTGGGAAAGGTCAGTAAGGTAGTAGACTGCAGGAAAGCAGTCTGCGGTCGCTTTCTTTACCTTCCTGAACGCCCTGAGGTACATTTTCCATTTGTCCACTGCCTGGAAAATATCCTGCAGGAAACCGGCAATTACAACCTTCAGGAGCTAATGGGTGTCCCCATGCTAGCAGGGTGCTTTTCGGAGCTACAACCATCCCCTCCTGCCAGGCCTCCACGTGGGAGAGCAACTGTTGCTTAGAATTCTAGGTGAAATAGTCAGTGTGTGGAGCCGATATTGGGCTCTCAAAATAGAGTGCAATGGTCTAAGTCTCACAGATTTGTGGTAGCAAGTAAGATCTCCATTAAATTCATGGTCTCACGTCTCAACCACATCCCCTTCTCAAAGTTTGCCCTGTTATTTCTCAAGATTCTTATATGAGCTCAGAAACAAGTGCGGGCCTTCATTTCACGTTCAGTCTCTGCAACAGGTGCCTCCGTGAGAAAGCTCGATTCCGAGGTAGGTCTACCTCTGTCCATATGAGGTTGCAGATCCCAGTCCTCAGGACCATCACGGAGGGCAGGGCAGGGAAGGGAAGAAGCAGTCTCACCCCTCATCCTGCTCCCTCGACCCCTCCTCCGCTGTAGCCAGACGGAAAATTCCCTCTCCCACCTTGTGAATACAAGCCAAAGCGACTTCCCCACACCCCACTCCGGGAAATCGTTGGCCTACCAGCTCCGCAATCAGCCGCACAGAATTCAAGTTCGGATTCGGCTTTGATGGCCTGCCACGGAGAAAGGGAATGGGCGTTGGACACGCACACCCACATATCCCTCACCAGGAAGGACCAGGAGATGCAAAGAGGATTCAAGGCAGACAGCTTGCGATTCCCCCCCCCCTTCCCCCCCCCTTACTACCCCCTGAAAACGCCCTCCCGCCAATCCTGGCAAATCCTACCCATTCGGCAGCATCCAGTGGAACCCACCTCCTTCCTCAGCGCAGCGGGGCCGCGGCAGTGCTCCTTCCCCTGCCTCGCAGTCCCCGATTCCGCAAACGGGGAGCCGCCCAGTCCTGATGGGGCTTTACTCTCTCCTCTCTCCGGGCCTGGCAATCGCGCCCCTTTTCTTTACCTGTGTTGGGCTGGTGGACAGCCCATGCTCCGGCGTGGACAGCTGTGGATGCCGCCTGCCGGTCACCGTGGCCCTGCAGGGGAAAAAGATGACGCCTCCTAAGCAGCCAAGTGACCCGGAGCCGCCAGACGGAGCCGCTTCGCCCAGCTAAGGGTAGCCGAGTCAAGGCAGCGCGGTTCCCAAGGCAGCAGCGGCCGCCCCCGCCCACCCGCTGAGCCCTCCCAGCAGCCGCCGCTTCTTTTAGCCTCTGCCCATTGAGACAAAAGAGCAAGATGAGTCGGGCGGCGCGGCCAATCAACGGGGCGAGGGGGCGGCCTCCCCGCGCAGCCTCCTGCCCGAGGCCATTGCTAGCAAAAGAGGGGAGACGGTCGGCTGGGGCTGCGGCACACAGGCGCGGGAGCCGGTGCGGTGTCAAGTCCAGCTCGGACTCTCGGACTGGGCCGATTTGCATTTTACCCGTGAGTTTGCTGCTTCCCCCTCGCTTCCTTTCTCCTTCTCCCCTTACACCTCTGTGGTCCTCCGCGCTTTGAGACCGGATGCCTTCAACACGAGGTGGGACAGAAATCAAGTGAACAATAAGAGTTCCTCACCTTTGTATAGGGGGAAGGGATGAAAATCATTTACTGAGCGCTTTCTGCGTGCAAACGCGCTTGCACGGACATCTCATTTATTCGTCTCAGCAGCCTTGTGAAGGAGTAGCAGTATGCCCATTTAACAGAGAGGGGACTTAAGCATCCAGTCACTATGGTTAGGAAATGCAGAGCTACGAGCTCACACCCAAGTCGACTTGACTGATTTCAAAGGCTGCCCCTTGTAAACACTCCTCTCTACTCTCAGATTGAGGGTTAGTTGAGAAAAGCCAAAGCCAAAGTGGAGATGGGAAGGCCCACTTGGAACTACTATATAGAACTGGTGAGCAAGGACTATCATCTCCATTTTGCAGATGAGGAAACAGTCATAGAAAGGTTAGGCGTCTTGCCCGACATCATACAGCAAGTAAGTATCAGCATCCGGTTTTACACCCAAGTCTGTTCTCCAGATGCCAACGATTTGCCCCGCTTAGCTGCCTTGGCGGCATTTTTAAGCGGGTGGTCTTAAACCAGCTCAACAGCAGTCTTAGTGTGCTGGTAGTGCTGAGAGAGGGCTTGGGGAGGCAGTGGGAAGAGGGCAGTGGGGAAGAGGTAGGGAACTTTTATGGTACCTATTGTACAGAAGAGGAAACTGAGGCACTTTTCTTTCTCATTTTTACACTACAACAAGCTGCCTGCTTTTTCTTTAAGTAAAAAGTTATTTTTACATCTTATGACCCCCAAAGGAAATAAGACTCAGAGAGGTGAAATGACTTGCCTGAAATTACAAGGTGAAACCAAAGCTTGTATCCCATCTCCCTGACACCAGAATCCATGCTGTTAACCAAAGTATGGGTACAAGGCTGGCTGCCTCAGAATCATTTTGAAAAGCTTGTTAGAAATGTAGATTCCTAAGCTCTACCTCTGGGCGATTCGGATTTACTAGGACTAGGGCTGGGGAGGATGATTTATATTTTTAACCAGTGCTGTAGTTAATTCTGAGGTGTAGAGAGGTTTGTGAACAACTGCTGGAGACACCACGTTATGCTGGTGGTAATAAGTAAATGGGGCTGTGGCCAATGTATCTGTCTATACCATATCTGTCGTGAAATGTAACTCCAGAGCAGAGTTTCCTATCTAGGGTCCTTCCTGAAATTGTTTGCAAAGAGTAGAAGTTGGACTCTGTATATTCTTCTGAGTCTTAGCTTTGTAGATTTTCAAATGAGTCTGTGGCCCAGAAATGGTTAAGGACCACTCCCCTACAATCTTTCTTCCTAACATTTTCTCTCTCAACTTGTACTTGAGGAGGAAGTGTGAGAAATGAAACACAATTTGACCTAACCCCCGAACTACAGCTCTCTGCCGCTGATAATAGCTCTTTCATTTCTTGGCTTGAGGACACGTTGCTAGGTTGCCCTTCTGTGAGCTCTTGAGAGGACCTCTCCTTTGCTGGATTTGGCATCACTGGCCCCAGAGAAGGAGCAACTCCATGGAAACGGCATGCAGGGCTGTCCAGAGTGAATGGGCTGTGAAATCAGTGGCAGAGAAATCTGTACCATTTTCCATGATTTCTGGTTCTTGAAGAGCAGGTCTTACTTCCCTTAGGTAGGTTGTGGTTAGGAGGCCCCTTTCAGGGCTTGTTCTTGACTCCTGATGCATTGAAGCAAGTGAACAATCTGATACCCTTCGACTGCTGTTGGGTTGTCTTCAACCTGCATACTTCACCTTCTCCTTTCTGCTTTCTTATTGACTACCTCAATACTTAGAGTTCCTTGGAGTAAACAATGAACATTTGGAGATGAAGCACCTTCCATCTGAGGACTGTGGGCTTGTTCGTGGATGGAAGAGTGTGGGGAGTTGGAGGGTGGAGGGTGTAGGAAGTAAAGAGAAGACTTGCTTCACACAATCAGGGGTGATGCTAGCAGCAGCTCTAGGGTTTCCTTCAGACTCTTGCTTCTGCTCCCCAATATCATGACATCTGACCCTGGGTCTCTTGCAGATTCTTATTCTGTGTTTAAATTGGCTTCATCGCCAAAGTAGGTGATCTGCAGTTGGACCTGGTGGGTGTGGGATCAAATAGGACAAAGAATAGATCTTATAGCTCTGACAAAAAATAGTGGAAGGAAACAGGTTGTGTACAGGTGCCTGGATTGGGCCATTAGAACAAAGTGAGGGTCTCTTCCTGCAAGACTGGGAGGAGGATTTGCTAAGCTAGCTCCTATTAGATATAGGGCATCCCTGATCTCTGGCCTCGTGTGTGGGAGTGTGTTCCAATTCATGGCTCTAATGAGACCACATTTTCCAATTTCAACAAAGAAACCTAAAAAGCCTGAAGGTTAGAGAGGTAAAGCTATTAGTTGAAGCAACAATAGCTGCCCTTGGCTGCCTGGCTCCTCTGTGCCAGGAACTTTCCATCTGTTATCTTATTTAAGTTTCTCAGCAACACTGTTGAGACAGGCATTGTTATCCCATTTTGCAAAGCCCATGAAGGAAGCTTCTCTGTTGTCTTACAAACAAGAAATGAAAAAAAAAATCTTCCTTCATTTTATTTTTATCAATATTTTTAATTGAAGTATAGTTGATTTACCATGTTGTGTTAATTTCTGCTGTACAGCAAAGTAATTCAGTTATACATATATATGCATTCTTTTCTATATATTCTTTTCCATGATGGTTTATCATAGGATATTGAATATAGTTCTCTGTGCTGTACAGTAGCACCTTGTTGTGTATCCATTCTATATATAAAAGCTCACATCTGCTCACCCCAACCTCCCACGCCATCCCTCTCCCAATCCCCACCCCCTTGACAACCACCAATCTGTTCTCTATGTCCGTGATTCTGTTTCAGTTTCACAGATAAGTTCATTTCAAACAAACAATTCAAAATGTACTCTGCAGATGACCCAGTGCATTAGACTGATTTCAGCCTTTAAAACAATGTTGTTGTAATATTACTTATATTACTGGGATCTCATTTTTTTTTTTTTTTTTTTTTTTTTTTTTTTTCGCGGGCCTCTCACTGTTGTGGGCTCTCCCGTTGCGGAGGCTCCGGACGCGCAGGCTCAGCGGCCATGGCTCACGGGCCCAGCCACTCCGCGGCATGTGGGATCTTCCCGGACTGGGGCACGAACCCTTGTCCCCTGCATTGGCAGGCGGACTCTCAACCACTGTGCCACCGGGGAAACCCTGGGATCTCATTTTTTAAAATCAAGCCACTAATATAATTTATGGACCAACTTGTATACCGGGTAATGCACTAAGCATTTTATATACTTCATAACATGAAACCTTCATGACAATCATTTTACAGATAAGGATACTGAGGCTCAGAGAGTGGAAGAGATTTGGCAAGGGTCATAAAGCTAGGAAGTGGCACAGAGAAATTCAAACCCGGGGCTGTCTGACTCCAGAGGCTGTATCTTTATGCTATAATGCACTGCAGTGGGGAAAACAAGGCCCTCATTTTACATCAGCTTGTCTCTGTCACCCACAGATCTCTCTTCTTCCCACAGCCTGTATCCAGAGCCAGGTACCACTCATGTTTTAGGCATCTGTGCCTTAGGCCTCTTCCTCAGCCTAGAACTCCTGCTGTCACTCCTCCACCTAACAAGTGCCTGCTCACTGGTTAAGGATCAAGTCAGCTGCCCCTCCTCAGAGAAATTTTTGGCTGCTTCCTATCCTAGGTGAAATAAATTGCTCTTACGTTTTGCTCTGACCTTGATTAGTGTACGCTTTATTTTACCTCCCAGTATAGTTTAGCTCATGGTTGACCTGTCTCCCCCACTAGATTCCCAAGCCCTCGAGGGCAGGTACCAAGTCCTGTTCACCTCTGGCTCCACAGTGACTTACCTACAGTGATTTCGTAGATGATCAATATGTGTTTGTGAGCTGGCCAAAGGAATGGCTGAAGGATGCCGGAATGAACAGAGAAATGTAGGGCTGGATCTTGGCGCAGTCATGCAAGCTGTGCATCTGGGCTAGACTGGCCAGGGGAGTCTAGAATCCCCTTGGCTCACTTTACTAGGCTGTAAACATAGGAGACACATCATGGGGTCCAGGGGTAACTGCTGTAGGCTGACTCCAGACTCATTCTGTGGCCTCTATTTAGAAATTCTTGTTTAAGGGGCCAGGCTGTCCTGGATTGTTTATATAACACCTTTGCATTCACAGAAGAAAGGTCTTCCTTGCCTCTCATGTGAACACAAGATACCACTTCATCTTGTTCTGAGTATCCTGCAGGAGTGTCTGCAGCATCCTCACAGACGATGAGGTCGGGAAGCATCTTTTGTAAAAAAATATTGTTTACTGAGGCCACCATGCCATGGATGGTCAACCACTTTATCTCATTTTATTTTGTTGATCTTTGCAACAACCTTTTGAGGGAGGTCTGTTGTCCTTAGTTTGTAGCTGAAGAAACTGAGACTGAGAAAGTGTCTTGCCTAAGGTCACACAACTAAGCAAGTGGTGGAGGGAGAATTCAGGCTCAGGTCTGTCTGCCCCCAAAGGCTGGCATTTTAACGGAAAAACACATGGGAGTAAAGTAGACTCCCCCTCCCCCATAAAACAGGAAGAATTAGATTTATAAAATGATGACAGATATTTAAGGTAAATTGTTTCTAAAATATTGTTCAGCTTTAATCCCTGAAAATGACTGGCAAAAATGGCAGAAGGAACCAGTGATGGAAAAAGCACAATTCCTCTATCAAATACTGGCCTGAATTCCCCCACATCAGCCGCCTGCCACATGCACAGTATGAGGATGCCTAGAGAGCATTCCTCCCTGTCTGCTGATTTTACACTCCAAGATGCATTACACTCCAAGATGTCAATATATTTCTAAAGGTCACACAAGAAGTTGATAAGAGAACTGGCACTGAGAATTCTGG